AAGATCTTTATTAAAGTAAAGGGGAAAAATATTTAAATTATTATTTTTATTTTATTAACTTCATCAATTAAATGGGTCTGACCCTCTTTAAACGTCCCCAGTGGAGTCACCATCTGTCGTAACCCAAAAATTTCTGATGTCGCGACTAATGATTTATACATTCTTTTGAAAATCTCATCAATTAAAGAATGTCCAGACACTAGACTAATCCTTAATCAATGGTTTTGAAAATAGGTTCATGGAGTCGCCACCAATGTTTTATTCAAAATATTGGAAAAGGAAAAGATTTTTAAAAGTCCAATAATAACCTTGATAACCAGAATTGGGTTCGGGGGTCGGTTACGTGTAGGGAAGGTATTAAGCACCCCTACAACGCCCTAAATCGGTACCCTATGATGAAGATAACATAATAAGAATTAATAGTTTAAATATTTAATCCCCTTTATTAAAGATTATTTACTTGAAAATAAAATTACATGGTGAACCCTAAAATATCTACATAATTGCGTTTATTATAACAATATATATAACAAAAGAAGAGAAAGATAGAACAAGAGATTGATGAGTAATACCTCGTAGCAAGCTTTATTAGATCTTCAATTATGGAGATTTTAGGTACTTTGCAGCAAACTTTCACATTACAATATGCCTCACAAAACTCAAGAAATACAATAGGAGAGAGAGAGAGAAATTTCAGGCTCTAAGGAGTCTTGGACGAAATTTTTAAGGTCCCTTGAACTGTGCCCGAGATTTCTTATTTACAGGCATTAGATGTGGGCCAGAACGGCCCATTCTAGGATCGGAACGGGCCGTTCTGGAACGGGGAACTTAGTATTAACTTTTACACTAGAATGGGCCATTCTCATTTCAGAACGGCTCATTCCAAAAAATTGGAACGACCCGTTCTGAAATGAGAACGGCCCATTCTGGTGCACAAGTTAATACTAAATTCCCCGTTCCAGAACGGCCCGTTCCAGACAAGGTTTTTTAGGCCGTTTTAACCTTTTGGAATGGCTCGTTCTAGTGTAGGAACGGCCCATTTTAGCTCAAGTTGTTTTGGCCCTTTGATTGGTTTGGAACGGCCCGTTCTGGTTTGGAACGGCCCGTTCTAACCTACAATTTTTAGGGCTTTTGGGCTCTCTGATGTCCTATCTTGTTGTTTGTATGCCCCCGGACGAAATTGGGTGTCTACAAGTGGTGCATGTGATCTTTCACAAAGAAGGGTGAGAGAGGAAAGAAAGGTTCTGCAAGTATTACTTTATGTTTAACAAAACTACACATTCTTGATCATACAACTCAGATTGTGAGGTTGGTGGAAAGGATTGCTATTTGGGCTCAATTATGGTTGGTACTTGGTATTGACTATTGACTAAAGAGTACCAAATTCTTCAATCTAGTTCCCAGATTGCTTTACATATGATCTCAACCAAACAACCAATTTAAAAAGACTAATAAAAAATAGTCAAATACATCCCCAAAACAACATTAATAACATCCTACAATACTTTTTCTTCCTAGATATTAAAAATGAAAGAATATATATAATTCCAGCTATGATTTTATCTTCATCTATTGTTTCACATGACTTCATTAATTTCCAGTGCGTTAAGTAACTATGTATAAAAATGTACAATTCAGACCATGAAACCATTTCCAAGACTCAAATAGCATACTTCCCAGTTCCCATTTCCAACAGAGCAATTAAGATCAACAACATAGAAATCATAAATTTACAAATTACAATAGAGCAATTGAGATCAGTAAAATTTACAACTCACAATTTAGAAATTACAAATTTACAATATACTGAATTATGATGAACAGAGCAATTAAGATTAATAAAATATAGGGAACTTTTACTAACCAGGTTGTGTAGGAACAGAAGCTTAGGGTTGTGGCTGGCTATGTAGTGTGAGAACACAGAAATGTGACCACTGCAATGGATTGAATTAAAAAGTCTAAAACATAGGATCAGATTATGAACCTCTTATCTCTCTCTCAAAACCCGTTAACAGAATTATCGATAATGGATTGGGATTTGGGAATGATCTCTCTCTCTTAACTTCCTAAAAAATCATCTCCCTCTCCATCAAATCCTTCAATAAAAAAGAAAGTGGTCTTTCTTTTATTTACCTAAAAACTTGACAAATTTTTTTATAACATTAAATTTTTAAAAAAAAATTACTACAAAAATAATTAATTTAATATTAAACAAGTCCTCCTATTTTATTTTAAAAATTTAGTTTCTTCTGCTCACAAATTCACATTTTCCTTTTTCTAACATTTCTATTAAGCTGTATTTTTAATTAGTTTAATTAAAAAAATTTATTTTTAATTTTTTTAATAAAGTAATTAAATTCTCAAATCATTGTATTTAGAAAAATTGTTAACAAGTATATATTATACCATTCAAGCGATTGTTACTAACTACTCACAGCACATCACACATTGATGTATTATAACATGAAATAATGATATAAGATTTAATTATTTTAATGTAACCAATAACATATTAATTATTTTTGTTATCATTAGTATAAAAATATTTCTTTATTATTTATTGTTAATGGACTAATTTCTTTGATATTATATATAAAGAGATTGAGAGGATTATTTATTTTCTCTTAATATATAGTATATAAAAAGTATTATCTTATATAAGTAGTAATTGTATGTGCCACTATTAAATAAATAAATAAGAAAATTAATACTCACTTAAAAATTTGAGAAGAGATATATATATACAACGTCATTTAGAAAAACTTCAAGTAGGGGTCAATGTAATTTTTCCTAGCTAGATTAAATATTCTTTATTTAAAAATTAAAACATTATATTTAAAATTATTACACTAAATACTTATTTTTGTTCCTAATAATTGATTGATTTAAAAAATATGTCTCCAAGTTGTAGTTATTTCTTAAATTTGCATTTTATTTATTTCTGAATTTTATATTTAAGTAGTAAATCAGTAAAATACAGGTAACGAGTATAAATATATAAGTATTTAAAAATTCAATAAATCTATATATAAAAATCAGAAATAAGTAGATTATTAATTATAAAAGTAAGTATATATAAATAAAGATTAATTAAATATATATATTATTATTCATAATATAATTATTGCACGGTGTGTAATACTTAATAAATGTTACACCCCGGTACCGGTGTTAGTATAACCTGTCTGTCTCTACATATATATATAGAGAGAGAGAGAGACAGAGAAAATGAATGGAAGAAAAATAGTTATATATGTAGTTGTTTGATTATCTATAGTAATAGATAAAGGGAAATATACATCATCTTGTAACTGATTTTTGTCTCCAAAATAATGGATAATTATTTCCTTAATTCTTAAGAAATAAATAAATAATTTTTAATTATTTTACTTTTAAAAAGATTTAAAGACACGAAGTGTATAATGGTACGTGATAACCTAATTTAATATATGGATAGGGATCCTTTTACTCTAAGAGTAAGTTTACCTAGACTTACTTCGTTCAATAACTCATGTTCAACATTAAATTTTAACGATCAAACTGTTCAATTTAAAATTCTATATGCATAGATCAAATCAGCAAATTTTTAGAAAATTTGAAAATCATTTGATACTTCATTTCATTAATTCAAATTGACGGATAATCATAGAATCATTTTATACACTGATTCAAATTAATGAAACAAAGTATCAAATGTTTCTTACCTTTTTCTTTTGGATTTTAATAAGTTTTAATTAGAGATTCAATGAATCATATTAATATTAAAGATTTAAACAAATTATATTACTATTAAACATCCGATGAATAAGGATATATTTTGAGAAATAACTTATTTAAGATATTATATAATAAGTTTTTATGTAATAAGATCTTATAACATTAAACATTCAATGAATAATGATATGTTTTAAACAATAACTTCTTTAAGATCTTATATAATAAGTTTTTATATGATAAGATCTTATAATATTATAAGTGTTTAAAATTTAATTATCTTTTATATTTGAATATGTTAAAAAGTAATTATATAATTTTAAAGAGTTGGATTATAATTATTTAAATACTTATAGGAAGTTATTTCATTTTAAAAATAAAAAAATTATTATAATTAAATTTTGATTGAAAGTAAAATAAAAATATAAAAAGTGACTAAATAACTTTCAAAAATGACATTCTATATCACAATAATATTAAAATGATAATAAAAAAATTAGTAGTCTTTTCACTATCTATATATATACATATATATTAAATGATTTTATCTATAATTTTTTTTAAAAAAATAAAAATAATATTAAAAATTAAATATTTTTATAAATATTAAAGGGGTTGAATCACTTTGTGCCACTAATAATGATAGGTAGATAGAATATTAGAAAATTGTATGTAGTTATTTAGAGGGAATATAAATTTTTTTTATATCTAAAGAATATAATGGTCCACTAAAAAGTGGAGACCAAAAATAGTTACATAATCTTAGTATCCTTTTTATAATATGTATAGATAAAATTTAAAATCGATTTAAGAATTAAATATAATACTAATAAATTTAATAAATATTAATAATTTTAGATATTTTGATTAAATAAATTATGAACACGTACATTAAAAAATAATACATATAAGCATCACGCATAAGTATTTAAAAAAATGCTAAAAAAATAAGAAAAGTGTAATTAGAAATTAAGGTAAAATTTAGAAAAATAAGAAAGTCTATACGCGAAAAAATTTTAAGTTCCCTTTTCACTTACTGATAAAAAATTCCCTTTGTTGATATATTAATTTTTTAAAAAAATAAAAATAATATTAAAAATTTAATATTTTTATAAATACTAGAGAAATTTTATTATGATTGAATTATAATTTTTATAATCTTTTGATTTAATATTGACAAAATAAAGTTGCCATGGATTGGGCTTATGGGTTTTTTCCACTTTTGAGCTCCTAAACCCATTATCAGAGACCAAGCCCAACCCAGCTAGCTTAACAGTGGGCTAAATATTCATTCTTTCCTCCGAAATTTAACAACACAGCGCCGCTCCCTCGCCCTAGCAGACATTTGAGACTCCCTCGCCTGCCCCGACACCTCCTTCCCTATTAGGTATTCTTTCCTGTTAGGTATTCTCACTCTGTTAGGTATTTTACTTTCATTCTTCGCCGGCCACGACACCTCCTAATTATGCGTTTCGCTTATGAAATTGGGAAATCTGGGACTAGTTATTTGGAAATTCTATGTCATTGTATTTGTTGGGGTGGTTTAGGTATTTTACTTTCCTTCTTCGTCGGCCACGACACCTTGATTGTCATTGTATATGTTGGAGTGGTTGTTTGCATTTTGTTGTATTTTTTAATTAAATGACGAGAAGAAAATGATGTTTTATTTGCTCAAATTACTAAATATAAAGGAAAATCAAATATATTATATGAGATTAAATGGAAAACCTTGATCTGGGCCTATGAAGGGGCCCAAAACCCAAGGGTGAAAATTTTCAATCAAATCAGTTTCTACTCTTATTAGTTTGCTTTTTCTATCATTCTATACTGGGACAATAATGAGGTAGATGAACCTTGTCGAATTACAAAATGATCATGGCTTCTAAATTTGGGAGAGTTTCTTTTTGTGTTGCTTTTGTTTTTTAATTTTAAGAGTTGGAACGTGAAAGGGTAATGATGTGCTTGTGTTATATTTTTGTATCAATTGATCCTTCAAGAAGAAAACGAAAGTTGATTCTTTGTGCTTTATGAGTGAGTTGGATATTGAATTTGAAGTTTGTAATGAGTGAACACAAAAAGTAAATTAGTTCTATGTATAAATGTTCATATCGTTTATGTGATGCAGTTTGGTTGTTTCTACATGCGTTTTCTTAGTTATCCATGTGAGCTAAGAGATAAACATTGTGCAATTTGCTCATGGAAATTCCCCCTTCACATTTTGTTTCCACTCAAATAAGTTTACAGAAACTTGTTTTGTTTTGTGAGTCTCAACAAGAACAAACTTTGAATGTCAAGTAACATATTATAGAGGGGTAGCATTTCTGTTTTAGACTTGTTAATTCTTGAATGAACTAAGTGTGTTCATTTCTGTGATAAATCTTTTGATGCATTTTGTAATGTTGAACTAGGTTCCTCTGCGAGAGTAAAATTGTTTGGTGCAAGTGATATACCAAATGTGTATTTTTTAATTAAAGAATTGGTCAGATTTTATGTTTTATAAATATAAAGGAAAATCAAATGATTCAGCAGCTTCCGGAAACAATTTGTTACAATTCTGTTATTGCTTTACTGTTTGTTGTGGGTTATGCGTGAGAAATAATTCTCTTTTAGGAGACCCTCTGTCCTCAATTCTTTTAGGAGATCCTCTGTCCTCAAATTCAGAGTCTGTTAAAATCACATCAGAAATAATTACATGAATCTTGATACAGATTTTTACATGTTGATTTTACTATATTTTTATTCACTTACTATGTAGAAATTAAAAGATTGTCATGAAGTTTGTAAACTACGAAACTCCTATCAATATTGAGAAGTTGTGTTCCGTATGACCACACCTACAGATAAATTTAAGAAAGGATTTGAGTTTAGAGAATTGGCCCAGCGGACACAACGTTTTAACTATTTTGTCTTTTTTTTTGTTTATGTTTGATAGGCCTTCTTTTAATTAAGTTTAATTTCTTTTAATTTTTTTAAGTAAGTGCATATAATAATAATAATAATAATAATAATAATAATAATAAAGTATAATAATAATTTATGTAAAACATAATACTAATATATATAAAGAATGATTTATTTACTTAGGAGTAAATATACCTAAATGAGATTATCTATCAATTAGAATTAATGAAACGAAGTATCAAATGATTTTTAATTTTTTTTAAAATTTACAAATTTATTATGTACATTAATAACTTTTAGTTTAATAATTAGATCGTTAAAATTTGATATAGAGCATGACTTATATAGAGTAAACGAATCGTTCTTTATATATATATATTACACATATATATAAAATAAACTAAATAATAGTAAAATTAAAAACTAAATAAAAAGTAACATATAGTTATAAATTTTAATTTTATTAATTTATTATAAAAGCAAAATAGAACTATAGAAGAGATATAATATTTTTAAAACTTTTCTAAAGTGGTAAAGGTTGACATAACCACTTATCCAAATGTCCAAACTTTAACTAAAAGAGTATAAAATAACAACTAAAACTTAAAAGGATG